TCGAGGCAACTCTGGGATTGTGTGTGCTTCTGTAAAAGAGCCGTGAATATTGTCTACTGCACAGTCACAGCTTTGGCTCCCCACTGCTGTAGCCTTGGAACATCTCTCCTCCCAGAACAGCTCTTAACTTTGCCCTTGGGTCTCTCTAGGTCCTCTAACAGTTAGATCCTCCTGGGAAATCCACTTTGTTTGGGTTGTGATTGCAGTGCCCCTTAAGGCTGAGGCCCATGGAGTTGATGAGAACTGAACCGATCTCCAAGTCGATTCTTCTTTTAGATGCCACTGAAGCATCTTGATAAAAAACGTGTGAGAAATGATGATTTCCCACCAGTATCCGTCACTCTTTAAGCATTACAGAAAAACAACTGAGCTACCCAGCATTTTGTTTGAACTTGTAAAAGATTGACCTTGCCTGACAGAAAGAATGCAGATCCAGTTCATGAAGTGGGAAATTTGCCTTTCTGGCTTAGGGTTGCTGTCAGGATATTGGATATTGTGTTGGGTTTGTGTCTGTGTCTGTGTGTTGGGGGGGGGGTGTTTTTGGTAGTGGGGAAAGGGGCCACCTTGTGAGATGGAAAAGCTCCCCTGGCTCCAAGGTGGACCCCACCCCTAGCCCAGGCTGGGCCAATGAGCAATAAACACCTCTGCAAATCCATATGTATGAGGGGAAGGACTGTCTTGAAAAGAAGGTGGAGAGAACCTGGAGGAGAGGCCATTCACCTGAACCAAAGCCAACCATGGGCCTAAACAAAGGAGAGCTTCATTGCCAGGAGGAGGAGGGGGAGACAGAGAACCTCAGACACCCACTTCAACCCCATGGAGTAGGAGAAGATCAATGAGGTCCCTGCAGCCCATGGAGGTTCAATGGTGGAGCAGAGACCCACGTGTGGGCCATGGAGGACTCCACACTGGAGCAGAAAGCTGAGCCTGAGGGCAGGTGTGATGGAATTGAGACCCCAGAGATGCTCAATGCCAGAGTGGAGGTGGACCCCCAGAGCGGGGGTGAGGAGATGTGCTGGACCAGAGACCTATCTGCAGCCCATGGATGTCCCCACGCCAGAGCCGGGGAGCCTGAAGAGGTCCATGACTCCATGGGAAGCTTGATTTGGAACATCTTCCATGTTGGGAAGAGCAGCAGAGGCGAACTGACTGAACCTCCATTCCCTGTGCCCTGTGCCCTGGGGGAGAAGGGAGAGAAATGGGGAGCAGAGTGCTGGGAGCCCGGGAGGAAGGGAGGGGTGGGAGAAGGTGGTGTCAGATGTGGTTGTTGTGTCTCACTGTCCCACTCTGATTGACTGGCAACGAATTAAATGGATTTTTCTTCCCCAAGTGGAGTCTGTTTTGCCCGTGCCCATCACTGGTGAGTGAGCCCTCCCTGTCCCCATCCTAATCCCCTGTCCCTTTTGTTGTGACTCCCATCCCACCTCACTGGGTGGGGACAGTGATTGCAGGACAGCATGGTCCTACCTGTGGTTAAACCACCTCAGATGTGTAATCTGGAGGTCAGTGTTTCCTCTCAGCTCAGGGGTACTCAGTGGCTCTGGCCCAGGTGTGAAACACAATAATGATTCTAGTCTGTATCAAATCAGATCTATAACCTACCACACAAACCAGCAGAACCACTCTGACTAACTGGACCCCAGCTGGCAGTGTCAAGTGCGACCACCTACAACTTGTGGACCATGGAGGCTGAATTCTTCTCTGATTCTTAATGGAGAACGCTCCAGGTCAGGTTGACAACACCTGGACGTGCCAGTGCAGACTCTGTGCCCATTGTCTGTGTCTTGGGTGCTCTGAGGAGAAATGACTTCACATACAAAGCTCTTCCATCCGACTTTTCCTTCATGCTGAAGTCCTCCACAGCACTGCTTTTGAAAACACCCAGATGAAGTTTGAGCAACATTTCTGCTTCGTTAGCACATCCTGTTTGTGCTTCTTTTCTCATTTCTTTTCCTTATTGAGGTCACAGGCATGAAGAGAGGATTTTTTTTCTCCTTCCTAACAGCTCATCTGCTTCTTATTCTTTCCTCCCTGTAGACTTTAATAATCCTGTTCAAGATATTACGATGGGAGGATGTGGGGATGCTGCAGACAGGCAGGGATGGGTCAGCAAAGTTCACATAAATATTCCCCAGCCTTACAGTTGTCAGAGTTTTGATTTTAGTCTGAGACAGAGATGTGGGAGAGGAGTAATGTCTAGACCCAGGTTTGAACTCTTTCTTCCTGAACTGGGGACTGACTGAGTTTATTCCTTGCTTTTTATGGGTGTTCTGTTTAGTCAGGACTAGCAGCTGTGGTTGCTTTGCAGGAGCCCAGGGCCAGAACCACTGCACGTAGGTTTGGGGGAAATAAGGAAACACAATTATAAGCAAAAAATGTTTTAGAGAACATCCTTAACATCATAGTTACCAACAACCTTGGGAATCTCTTGCAGGGAGGTATAGTTGGCAATTCTTCTGGTACTATGACCTGGGAGGAATGGCTCTTTCTGGAAGCATCCAAAGAAGCAGGAGGTGAGTTTCAGATAGAACATCTCAGTCCCGTAAAGGAGATCCACCAGGACATTTTGGCACCATCTGAGTCCTATAAAGGAGATCCACCAGGGCATTTTGTCACCATCTCAGTCCTGTAAAGGAGATCCACCAGGACGTTTTGGCACCATCTCAGTCCTGTAAAGGAGATCCACCAGGGCATTTTGGCACCATCTGAGTCCTATAAAGGAGATCCACCAGGGCATTTTGTCACCATCTCAGTCCTGTAAAGGAGATCCACCAGGGCATTTTGGCACTATCTCAGTCCTGTAAAGGAGATCCACCAGGACATTTTGGCACTATCTCAGTCCTGTAAAGGAGATCCACCAGGACATTTTGGCACTATCTCAGTGCTGTAAAGGAGATCCACCAGGACATTTTGGACTGTCTGCATTGAGGATGGTGATTTGAGGATGTTATTACTCTTCATATTGAGGAAGATCGAGCTTCCTTCTTCTTGGTTTGACACAAGCAGTGGCCTCCCACTGGGCTGCAGTGATCACAAGAAATGAAGTATCTGAGATTCTTGGTAACAGAAACAAAATTTGGACTTGTGTATCTTAAAGGTCTTTTCCAACCACTACGATTCTGTGATTCTGTGAAGCAGCTCACTCACTTGCCTTCAGTAATCAATTACCCTGGTCCCCTAGGAAGGAGCTCGGAGGTACAGTCCAGCCCAGGATCTGTCACAACAGATGGAAAAAGAAGGCCACAGAAGCCCTTGCTTAGGTCTGTAAATGCCAAGAGTGGTGTCCCTCACCCAGCTTACAGGTAACTGGAATAGGAGAGCAATGGACTGAGGAGATATGCAAGGTTTCCTTGCCTTGTAGTAGCTCTGCTGCCTCCCAGCCCTGAATTCATCTCATTTTAGCACTGAAATTCTATCTTCTGCATGATTGCACCGGCAGGCTTTTGTCAGCGAATTCAGTGATGTTCAAACGTGCCTCAGGGGTGAGGAGCCAAGAGATTTGAGTTGAAGTGGCAGAAAGACTGCTGCTGAGAAGCCAAGTTTCTCTTTCCCGGGGTGCTGAGCGGGCAGTTACACTAATGCAGGATGCCATCTGTTTTTTCCTTCTCTAAAAGGTCGTGTTCACCAAACATTGCAGAGGCAGGAGAGGTCTGGGGTTAAAGTACAAGTAATTAAACCCTGCAGAGCAGGGCCCTTCCCTGTGCCTTCCCTGTCCACTTGGTGCTTTTCACACCTCAGTGATAAGCAGAGGTGCCCTGTTTGACACAGACACATGTAACGTCCTCTGTAGTGCCAGGCTGTGTGACCTCCTCCTGGTCTGACCTGCAGAGACAGCCAGCTTGGGACACTGAGGTGGGGTGGGCAGCTGAGAAAGGTGCTGAATTTCCTAAGCTGAGCCTCATGCTCCTGCAGCTGGTGAAAGAGGAGGCATGGCTGGGAAGGGAGGAGGAAAGAGAGGTGACCCACATGTCATTCTGAGGTGTCACCCAGACCCATGTAGGAATTATAAGGAAAAAAACCTGTGACATCTACACTACCTGGCACAGTCACCACCACTTCTCATTCAGTGGGAGCTCCCATAGCTGTTCCAGGTCACCTTCTGGAGGAGCCTGTCTGTCTTCATGAAAAAGCAGAGGTTCTATACCTCAAGTGCCTAAAGTTAGTCATGGAAAACCCGGTCCTCAGCCAGCCAGCCAGCCCAGACTGACACCTGGTCATCTTTGCACCACGAGGGCATGGGGTATGGAATCATAGAATCATAGAATGGTTTGGGTTGGAAGGGACGTTAGAGCTCATCCAGTTCCAACCCCCCTGCCATCAGCAGGGACACCTTCCACTAGACCAGGTTGCTCAAAGCCTCCTCCAACCTGGCCTCAAACAACTCCAGGGAGGAGCAGCCACAAATTCCTTGGGCAGCCTGTTCCAGTGTCTGACCACCCTCACAGTGTAGAACTGTATCAGAAAAGTTCAGTTCCTGTAGGAAAAAGCACAACACAACAATGTGGGAGTTACACAGCACACGGGGATCGTCTTTAAATACCAAATCCGACACGGAGGCCTTGACTTTGGCACGTTGGACCCTCTGGGACATGAGGCATTTGTTAGAGTGTTATTACATTTTCTGTCTGCTTAATACACATCTCACCAAAACCACTTTAAGCCATGTTGAAAAGATGTTGCCTGGTTCAGCCTGTGCTAAAGGATGTTAAATTTAATTGATTTCCAATATATTTCCCGTTCTGTAGTGTCAAATCCAGTTTACAGGTGTGTGCACCAGCCTTTTCTGTGAAACAAGTAAAACATTCTGGGATGGGTAATGAGCTTGGCTAATTATCATTAATTCCTCTTGGGTAAAACTAGTGTGAGAAGATGGCTTAATGCCATCAACACTGCTTTGCAAGGTGTTACGTGAATGTAGACAAAACCAGAATCTTGTTCCTATATTTGTCTGTGTTGGGGGTGACTGTCTGAGAAAGCTGCAGCTCAGCTGGCAGGGGATGATTTGCCAAGATCAGGTTCCAAGTTCGCTGCCTCTCTGGCAGGAGAGACTTTTGCTTTCCATCATTTTCAATACGCTCCCAGAGAGCATTGCCTCCACGTCACCCTAAAACCTCAACTGCAAACCAAATCACGAGCAATTCTTTCGCACTCAGACCTCCAGCGTGTCAGGAATCTATGAACCTTGAGAAGATCCCATAATTTATTACCAAGCCTGTCTCAGCTGTTTTTTTTTTTTTTTTCCATTGAATTCTGATCAACCCATTCACCATATGTTGTGGGTGTCCTCAGGGAACACTGAAATGCAATAAACTGAAAAGGCACTTTGGTCCCTGCTAACTCAGCAACTGATTTTTATTTTTTTTTCTTTTTCTGAGCAGGGAGAGGAGAGAGGGCAGCAGAAATGCTGAAATGTCTTCAGAGGGAGCACAGGTTCTTGCAGACTTGGGTTCTTTGGGCATTAACTGGTGACCTCTTTTTCTAATTCTCCATATAGCACTTTCTAAGGGTTTTTTATTCTGACATCTCTGAAGCTTTGAAGCCTCATATGGCTCTCAGACCATGATGATGCCAATCACTCACAGCACTTTCGAGCAGCGTACGTACAATAACCAACTGATCCTGAGTAGGAGCTCTGTGAAATGGATTCATAAAATTTTGGTGGTCCTTCACAACTAGTCCATGTAGTTTTTGCCTCAGTTACAGGTCACAATCGTGCACGCTGACCTTGAATACCATGAAGAAGGCGTTTGGTAAGTTATGTATGGGAGACAGCAATGTGGTCTTCTCCTGGAGTGACACAGGGACACAAAGAGGAGGTGAGATCAGCCTCTGTAGTGCTTTTGTAACACCCCACACCCTTAACTTCATCTTACCCAATTAGCTAGATCTTTTTGCATAACCTCTCTACCTGCCAACAGGGCATCTGAGCATCCTCTTCTTGAGTGTCTGGTTTCTTACTCCACTGTCTAAGTCCAGAAGAGCCATTGCTATTTTTGTTACTCTGTTATTGCTCTTATTCATCTGCAGTAATAAATCCAGCGCTGTGTAGCTATGGAGTGATCAGTGAGAAACTCACTTTTAATTTCTTACGGGACTAAAATTACTGTCCTTGAGAAGAGTAGCTCTTCTGGCCCTGGACCCCTGTTTAGTCACTCAGCTACCCTGTAAACACCTTTCTGAGAGCTCTGAAAATTGCTCTCAGACCACGAACTGATTCTGGTATTTGACAGCGAGGTAACGGAACGTAGTGTCTGGAGCATCCAACTTCTGTGTTCCTGCCTACAGGTCTAGCTTGAAATCGTCTTTAAATATCTGGGGGGAATGGGATGCGTGTTCTTTCTCAAGGTATGGGAATATGGGAATTCCCATTCCTCATCAGGGATGGGAATGTTTAAGCCTCACAGTCAAGATCCAGCAGATAACACAGTTGAGCTCCACAGCTGGCAGTTAGAAGGACAGATCCTTGCCAAGCTGGAAACGTGTGTTTCCAGCAGCAAGGAGGTGGTGAGATGTGTGCAAGGAAGGTGGCCCTTTTCAGTTTCTGATGCTGTAGGAACTGAAAAGCAGTCAAATCTCTCCCAGGACAGAGTATGACACAACAGCTCTGTACAGACACGGGGAGCTGATACTGCTGGGAGTGGGTGGATGGGCTTGCCTGGTTTGATAATTTAGTATCACTGATTTGGGCTTTAGGTCTCCAGGAAGGGAGAAAAAAGGAACTAATAAAAAAAACTTCTCCATAATACCACTTTTTCCTCTATTATCTCCCTACACCCATCCCTCAATGTACTCCTTATAGAAAATCTTCCTGAGAAATCTGCACGTAGAAGCTAAATATCAGACATCTCACTTACCCGTGATAGACAAATGGGTTCCCTGCTGAATTGCCTCAATGAAAGCTTTTTCACCATCATGTTTTCTTGAAACAAGCACTAGGATTCAGGCTGGAACCCCAATATCCCTGTTTTGAAATGCTAGACTAGCTATAGTTGCATTATCTGTACTCACCATCTTTGCTAACAAAACTGGTTCCTGGTCTGCAGCAGGTATATACCACTCAGCAGTGCAAAAGTTAGCAGGAGATACCTGAAACATGAGAGATGTTTTCTGCAGCAGATGAAATCTGTGTGTAATAATGACAAAACTAGTTGCAATGGGTCATAAAAGTCATGTAGGAACGTCCAGGAAGAACAGAACAGCTGAATTTGTAGTCTTCCTTTTTATATCTGATTGCAAGTGATTTACATTAATATTCCAACTTTCAATCAAACAGAATTCAAAGACATTACACACCTTCCCTACCTGATTGCATGACTAGCAGTAAATTGGTTCATTTATCATGCAGGAGGAGCTGTGAAAGCTGTGCAAGAGGGTGGTATATCGTTCTTTAGGACTTTAGCAAGTAAAGAACACTGATTACAGTTGAAACCACAGGGGTGATGCTGGGATACAGAACTAAATTAACCTAGTTGGAGTTTGGCCAGGACAGTGGGATTCACACCTTAGGCTCTGCATGGGACTTTGAATTATTACAATTGTATAAAAAAATTTGCTTATCCAAGAAATAGAAATGTGCAATAGCTCCATTCCCTTCCTTCAACCCACAGCCAAGGAGGTGGATTGCTCTCTGGCCAAGGGAAAGCAAGTTGATCTCCATCATTTACTAATTAACATTTTTTTCCCCCAGAGATCTTCTATGCTGTAATATCTATCTTTGCCCTACTTACTTTTCTTACTGTTGGGGTTTTTTTTTGTTACTATGATTACAATAGCTCCTGAGCCTTCACTTACTAACAGAAAACCTGTGCTCTACCAATGCAAATCAACTGTGTCCCTCAGGATAGAAGGCAAAAATCGGGATTGTTAAGGTTTTAGCTTATATTTCACTGCAGCATCAGTTGTCATCTTCAGCAGTGTGTTTTGTCTCTCATATGGGGGCTCCATCCATCATTGCTACTGGACAACATCCTCAGAAACGGGTTCAAGACGGGAGTAAAGCTGGGAGGAGTGCAGGGCAGTACGTGGAACCATGGGGCTGTAATGTTGACATCCAGGCTGCTAACAAACTCTGTCTTAAGCCATTTTTTCCAATGCTTATAAGGCACTCGAGGCTGAAATTTCCCAGGTTTGGTCTCAAAGCTGAAGTAGGTTTGTCTTTTTTTTTTTTTTCTTTTTTTCTTTTATTTTTGAGATTTTTTTTCCTCTCTAAGTGGTTCAGACATTTTTTGTTTTCTTTCTCTCCCACCAAAGAGCGTGTAGAAACTATTCCCACTCCAACAAGAGTATTTGCTGTTGCTTTCTGAACAGCACAACAGCCAAACCATCGGGAGGTTAAAAAGTTTATATTTAGCATAAAAACATCTAACTGAAAAAATGCATTTCAATGCTTCACTGGAATCTGATTTTGATTTGACCGAGTTTTGACCCTCAGAAAATTCCATGTATAAGCACAGAACTTTCTGTGTGGTTGTATCCACTGGGCTTAGAGCAAGCTTGGAGGAGGAAGGCGAGGTTGTACGTGTGCGTGTGGTTGACTCCCGTCCTCTTGGCTGCCAGGACACGCTGTTGGCTCATGTTCAACTTGCCATGGACCAGAACCCCCAGGTCCCTCTCTGCAGGGCTGCTCTCCAGCCTCTCCTTCCCAGGCTGTGTGTGTCCAGGGTGGCTGAGTCCCCACTAAAGATGATGTAGAGCCTTGCAGATCAATGAGCCCGAGTCCTGCAAACTCTTACATACACACCTCACATTCTACCACGAGCAGTCAGTGGAGGCCCTCAGAAAAGCAGAGTTAAGCTTACATGTGAGTGTTTGGAGGACCATCATGTCAAGGAGTATTTGCTGGCATTTAGAGTCCATTCATGCTCCAAGGGAAGTCAACTAACTCTCTAGTTTACTGCCTCAGGCCCTGGTCTGACCTAAAGAAGGTCCAGAGAATCCCAGACTGGTGGGGTTGGAAGGGACCTCAGGAGATCATCCAGTCCAACCCCCCTGCCAAAGCAGGTTCCCTACAGCAGGTTGCACAGGAAAGTGTCCAGGTGGGTTTGAAGGTTTGACTCAGCAGATCAGTCTGGGATACGTGACTTGGTGACTCAGAGCTGAGTGCATCTGGCTGGAATTGCTTTGTAGGACACTGCCTGGTTCCCACTGAAATACTTGTCACACACCTCAATGAAACACCATCACATCTGTGTTCACCTGGTCATCCCTTGAGCTGAGGAGAGAAATTACTGCTCTGCTGGTTAAAAGGAGAATGGATAGAACAGAAGCTGCCAATAAAAATGTTACAGCCAGAGCTGTAAGGGAAGAGTCTTTTATTAATATTTCCTGTCGTGTGGATGGACACAGGACAGAAGGAATTAAAAATGGGTACATACTTTAAATGTACATCTTTAGGTGCCAAAAAATGTTCAATTACATAGAACAAGGAAAGATTTGATAAGCTGTGCCACCTCCTAGGGCAGCGTGATGCCCCATTGTAACGGTGGCATTTCGTGGTTGATGAGGATGCAGATACCTCGTTTTAATTTGCTTTGACAAAGTTGGTTATCTAGCGTTGATATAAGAGACTGGTTTCTTCTGTGAATTTATTTTTGAAGTCTAACTGGTGACTACGTGCACATGTATAAATGAAGAAACTTCCTACCTTTAAATCCTTCGTCTGCCTTAGTTCTGAAGTTGCGGTGCTGTTCTTGGCTCATCGGATTTGGAGCCTTTTTAGAAACTGGGGGAATATTTCTCAATTTGATTATTAAATCTACTGAACAGAAGAACTGCCACTGGAGAGAATAAACTTCCTTTTCAAGTACTAGTAAGTATGCAAAAGTGCACTGAGGCTTAGGAGGCAAATTCTGTTTACAGACTTGGGCTCTTAAGTGCTTACAGGACTTTTGAAAATGAGATTTAAATACTTCTAAGTAATTTGGACACTACAGAAAAGCGTATCTAATTTCCCTGATTTGGTCTGATATCAACACTAATCATAAAATGATTTATTATCTAGATGACAGCAGAACTAGTTGTATGTGGAGCAAATCTAAGAGAAAGAAGTATGATTGGGAAGTTAATTAAATAATATAATGGTGTTTAAATATGGGAGGGAGTTCACATCCTTGGTTTCAGTGGAATGAAATGTATTGGTTCTGTAGTAATTAATTCCAAACTAGATGTTGCTCTCAGGTAAATACTCATCCCCTGGACATCAGTGGAGCTGTATCTGATGTATATGGTGCAGGAGAACCCAGAGTCCCTGCAGACTGGCCTGCACACTCTTGGAAATTATAGATTATTTCTCTATAGCCACTGGAAAGAGACTAAGGTAACAACAGATAAACACTCCCGTGGTTCAAAAAGTGCCCCAGAACAGCAAAATCTTGTTTAAAAATGGATGAATTTTGGAAATACTGAGCAAGAGAGGTTAACAACAGGCTTCCTCAGCGCCTGAATGGATCAGACATATGCTAATCCTATCCTGTCTGGAGCCACGTGTCAGCTCTCAGAGTGAGGGCACTGTTGTCAGGTCCTGGTTTCACACAATCACTGCTGTGGCTGACAGGAGAAAAGGGTGTTTTCCTTTCTCCACCAGATCTCAGTGGCACAGCAATCATCTGTCCTGTGGGTCAGAAAGAAACAGCTTCTTCCTTGGAAGCTCAGCGGTCTGCTACGGGTGTATTGCAGACACGCTTTAAAGAGTCGAGATCTCGGGGTTGGCTGGCTCTGTTGCATCTTTTATACTCCCAACTCACCAAGAGTTCCTCTGGAAACTCTGCAACGTTCAGCTGTCCCTCCATCATTTCCCACATGCCCTTAGAAACTCCTGGGGAAAAACTGGATCCTTGGGATCCAAGGCTTCATGCTAGGTGGGACTTTGGGATGCAGAGGGAGATGCTGAGCAATAGGCAGCAAGGGCATGGAGGTGACTGCCAGCTAGTAGCTGTTCCAGGGAGCAGGAGAGGTGTCCCCAGGCCACGACACCCTCCTTGTCCCCTCACACCTCGAGCAGAAGCAGCCAGGCAGCTCCAGGAGTTACAGGACTGGTTCATAACAGCGTGTGCAGCACAGGTACCTGCTCTCAGGGAGGGAGGGATCAAAAGCTTTGGCTGCATCAACCTAAAGTCTTGATCCATCCACTGAGAGAGACTCCTCCCAGCCCAGGCTCCCCACATGTTTAAAATGCAGCTCAGTGAATTGACTCTAGTGAACAACAACATAAACGTAAATAAAATCTGATAAAAAACAAATAAAACAAGCGAAACGTTGCGTTTTGTTCACAGTGACGATCCCAGCGGTTCCACAAGCAAGAAAGCCGGGTGTGAAACGGAGGATCCGAAGGAGGCCGGCAGACAGAGTGGCCAGGAAGGCAGGTCCGACACCCTGACGCTAAAAGCCCAGCATGCGGAGGTGCAAGAAGAGCAGGCAGCGGGGTGTTCCCCCCTGGTGCAGAAGGCGAGCCTCCATCACACGGGCTCCCCAGTGAGAGTGCAGCGCAGCAAAGGGACGGCCTCGTGTTCCCATGCAGCTGCCTCCGATTATGAGCTCTCCCTTGACCTAAAGAATAAACAGGTACAGAGGCTTCCTCCTCAGGCTGTGGGAGAAGGGGATGGGGTGGGTGGGACTGCATTCGCAACTCTGGTGGGACATCTGTCAGCGAATACTTCAGCCTTTTGTTCACCTTGAGCTTTTGCCCCTGCCTCGAACAGGCCTGGCCCTTTGGCTGCTTGGGGCTGATGGAGGAAGTAGCTTCCACACCACAAACCCGCTGGGCTCTGCTCCTCGTTGCCTGGGTTCTGTGGTCCAAAACGGACCCAGGTCCTCAGTTGTTATTGTAGGTTTAGAGATGGGCTGCAGGCAGCCAAGAGCTGCGGCATCCAGAGATCCTGCCTTGTTCACAAACATACAGTGCCTGTAGGGCTCCCAGCAACTGATTGTCCCAAAAGACCTCCCTCATGGGAGAGGTCTCCAAGAGCCATCTTACCCTCTTGGATCAGGCTGGACAGATCTGCAGTGCACTTCCACATTAGCCTCCTCAAAGCATGAGCTTTTTCTCCCCATGAGAGGAAGTGGGCTTTATTCCATGAGTGTCCTGCACAGCATCTGCCACAACATTTGTGTATTGCTGCCATCACTGCCTTCAGTCTAGTAATGGATGCTGAAGAGACAGGCAAGTTTATCAGGCTGAGAGAAAATGATTCAGTTCTTGAATCATAGAATCATAGTGGTTGGAAAAGACCTTTCAGATCATTGAGTCCAACCATAAACCAAACACCACCAATTCTACCTCTAACCCACGTCCATAAGCAGTTCCTCTACCCATCTTTTAAGTACCACCAGGGAAGGTGACTCCACCACCTCCCTGGGCAGCCTGTTCCAGTGCCTGACTGCCCTTTGGGTGAAGAAATTCTTCCTCACATCCCATCTCAACTGCCCTGGCCACAACTGGAGCCCATTTCTTCTTGTCCTGTCCCTTGGTCCTTGGTTGAACAGACCCACCCCCACCTCTCTCCACACTCCTTGCAGGGACTTGGACAGAGCCAGAAGGTCTCCCCTCAGCCTTCTTTTCTCCAGGCTCAACAACCTGTAATTTTCAGGCCTTTCCTCCTGTGCCCAAGGCTACAGCCTAGCTCTAGAGCACAAGTCTACCCATCTCTAGCTGCATCTCCTGATGGGTTCCCAGCAGGGGACAGCGGGATGGGGGCTGATAGCAGCTTACCTCCTCACTCAAACATGATGAGGTGGGACATTACCCTCCCCGCCCCATCTTGCATCTCTGCAGATGACAACCCAGGAGAGCTGTTGGGTAAAAAAACCCCTAAAGAATCATTTCTTCCTGACTTTTCCCTGGGATGGCAGCTCAACCAGAGGCTGTTTGATATGCAGACCCTGCAGTAGGCGAGATGAGGACAAGGAAGTGCTAGTGACAGTGTCCAGATGACATTCAGTGGGAGAATTCAAGGGGAGTTGTGCTATTGCAGATGAAGGGTCTCAGCTAATGAGGTTGCCACAGAAGAAGCTGATGCTTCTGGGACATCTCTGTGCCACTTCCCTCAAGGCATTGCCATTGTCCCTAAACATACATGTCACATCAATGGCCCAATAAATTCCTGAGCAGAAAAAAGACTTTGGCTCTTTAGCTCTGTTTTTCTCGAAATCCTGTGTACTCAGCTCGGGCAGAATTCTTGCTTCACACCAGGAAAAGAAGGAAGAGAATTAATTAACTGGCTTTGCAAACTAATGTGATATATCCTCAGGGTGGGCCAGATCTTGGCTTCTATATATGGGCTTAGCCTGCTTAATGTCCTAGAGCTGCTCTAATTTGTCCTGGGGAGTGTCTGTCCTGCATTATTTTAGCTTTAAGGTCATGTTTTCCTATCAGTGTTCCTGCAGCAGAGGCCAGAGCTGCCCTGGGTGCCTGTGAGACACAGAGATATGGTAGCTGCTCGTTCATTAAATCCCGGTGCCCCGCAGCACTGACCTTGCAGGGACCCAGCCTATTTCATGGCTGAAACCACTTTTCTCACAGCAAAGGGTGCTTACAGCATGTGTGCTCCTCCAGCCTGATGCATGTTCAGGGCCAGGTTGGATGAGGCTTTGAGCAACCTGGTCTAGTGGAAGGTGTCCCTGCTGATGTCAGGGGGGTTGGAAGTGGATGAGCTTTCAGGTCCTTTCCAACCCAAACCAGTTTGTGATTCCATGATTCCATGTCTTCACTGGATTTCCTCCAGCTCTGGAAGGGGAGATTTTCAGGGAGTGAAGAATATTAATTCTTCCAACCTTGTACTCTAGAGTGTGTTTTCATAGGTATTCCTATCAATTTACTTGTCAGGTAGTTCTCTGGAGTGGGAATAAGGGTGATAGGACCCTCACAGCACTGTCTCAGTAGTTCCCCTGTCATAGCACAAATTAATAGAATTTACAGTAAGAAAATCAGGTGGAAGGAGGTGTTTTTAGTCTTACAGTGCAGGTGAGGTCACATTTAGCTTTTGGGAGAGTGTTGGTAAGGAAGGAGGGTAGTGTGCAGCCTCTTCGGCAGGGCTTGGAGGTGCACGTCATCTACCAGTCCTTGCCCATCAGCATCATACTAGAGGGTTGGTGAGTGTGGTCATGGCTCTTCCAGCTCTCTATCCCATGAAACAGAGCGTGCTGACAGTGTGCAAAGCAGAAGGACACCGTGCTGGGAGGCTGGAAAGGAAACTTAAAGTTTCCCCTATGTTTAGGCTCTATTGTGATGTTGGGAAAATGAAGGGGATTGCAGGAGAGAGGAACATGCTTTCAGTGGTCCATACTCTTCTGCTGTGCTGAAGGGTGGCAGATGTCCCATGGATGGAGGAACATGTCCCATTAACACATAGCTCTTAGAGCAATGTCCTTCAATTGTGAAAGGCTGGCAGGAGGGAGAGCATGAATGGGTACCAGAGAACACGTGTGCTCTGTATGTCTGGTTTTTAATTAATTTTTACCATGTGTGCATTGACTTGAGTGACTCAGATCCTGTCACTGAGCCTGACCACTGCTAACGTGGTGACATGTGACTGTGCTCAGTGGCAACTTGGGTGGAAAACCAGTGCTAACTGAGGATAAGATCAGACCCATTCTTTCCTGGGAGATTTATTAATTCATTCCTATGTGCAACAAAGCCAAGGGGTGTGCACCTCAAACGCTTGGCCATATCCAGGCCTGGCACTTTGGCTTGCCGTAGGCTGACCTTGTTCAGGCTGCCTTGGTGTGCAATCCCTCCTGGCAATGGATATTTCCCAGCCATTTCTCATTCAGCCACAAGGCCTGAATTGCTCAGACTGAATGTTCATATTAAAGCCCAGAAATGTATTAAGATAATTATTCTTTGAAATCCCCCTGACCCTGCTCCTGCTTTTCCCTTCCCTTGGCGCCGGCTGTCAGATCATTCCCCAGAGAAGAGTAGCTTTAAGTAGGCAATTACTTGTGATTCATAGGGTTTATTAGGAGTGAGAGAAATCCAATCATCCCTGGCCTTTCTCGCCTCTCAAATGAGAAGAGAAGGTTCCTCCAGCAAGCCAGACATACATCTCCATTACCTGTGACTGCTCTGGTGCTAATGGATGCCCTTTCTTCCTCTTGAGAGGAAAAAACCAGGCCAACAGCTGTGTGAAGTCCTTAATTCCTCTGGAGTGTCAATTAGCTCGACCTGATAGCACACGTGAATGTCTCAGACATTAGCAAACAGTAAATGGCTTTTGGGTTTAGGAGAGAGAGACAGACCCAGTCCTACCAAGCAAAGGTAGGGAGGGTACTTCTCTATGGGGATGCAGCTTCTGGCTTTGTCACTCTTCTCAAGCATTTTTTGGACCCATCCCTGGTTCTTGTTATCCTAGACAAGACACTGTAGGGCTCTTCTTGCTTTGGACGTGGCTGGATGGCAGTGGACCACATGTAGAACCCATCCTTGCACAGCTGGTATGGACTAGAGAAAAAACTAGGCTGGGAGTCCTCTCACTTTACATCTTGTTCTGCTCCTTCAGGCTTTAGTTCTTTGGGAGGACTGAGTCTGGAGAAATGGACTGCAAAAAGCTGGTGATATTTTGTCAAGGTATTGACAGCTTGCACCGTTCATTTAGACTTTTAGAAGGATCTCTCCTCTTAGTAGTTATTAAAGTCTGCCTTTTGGGGAACTGTCCTTGCATGAGGGGACCTGGCCTTTTACTTCAGATCGGCAGTGACATCTTGTCTTGGCCTCTAATAAGATCAGAGCGTATGAATTTCATGTTTTCAGAATGGCTGTCACCTCCTTGGAAACCTCAGATAATTATAAGTCTCTTCCTTCTCCCTTATTTTGCATCTCACTATTACTCTGTCCCTCAAATAGCTGTGTCTGCCCCTCCCATGTGTTCCTCTTTCCTCCCAACACAGTTAGCTCTAGGTTTTGATTAACCAGACCCTTATATTAAATGCTTATGGGCAGTTGTCAGTAATAACTGTCTGGGTTGGGCCTGGGCATGTTATTGGTTTAATTTGCATTTATTTGCATGAGCCTTACCCCTGAAGGGAAGGGCCAAGGGATAACTCAGTTTCTTTCCAGGGAGGCCAACTTTGAAGAGATGTGGTAGGAATGCTGGTGTGATAGTGGGATTTAAGATGGTTGTTTTGGAAAGAAGGACAAAGAACCCCAGCAAAAACCTTCTGCTTTCTACCCACAACCTCTTCTTGTCCCTGTATATTCCTCTTTCCTACCACTTCAGACTCTGGGGATGAGCGGAGACCTTGTTTATCCAAAACAATTCATTCATGTGGTAAATGAATCCATGATCGTCATGTGGGTGGGTTTTGTAGCACCAGTTCTGCAGACCCTTTCTGGGAAGGCAGCAGGGCAAGTATTAGGCCAATGGTTTGAGCACAACGCAAAGGGTCCCTGCTTCATTTCCAGTGAGGGAAATACAAAAGGACATGTGCACCCCATGCCCCCTTCCAGAAATGTCAGCCTCTCATCCAGCAGGAGCCTTAGACCTGTTGCTGCCTGAGATGACGGGGTACCAGTGGGCAAGGCTTTCAGTATTTACTCCAGCAGCCAGGATACCAGAGCAGGGACAGAATGGTTGGGATCATGATGTTCCTCTTTTCCTGTCATCTCCCAAGATCATATCATCTTCCCCTACTTCCAGAGGAGATCGTGTTGGAAAGATGCCAGAGGTGATTTACATTTCTCACAGTTCTCGTTCCAGGACCTAGTTCACTCACTGATGGTTTTATCTCCAAATTACATAGTGTTACAAAAAAGGAGAAGAAGGAAGCAGATGACATGACATGACTCTGCAAGCTGAGGCTCATGCCTCAGTCTTGCTTCGACTACAAAACCAATTTGCACTTAAACTCAGATCTTCTGTGAGCTCAGTCCTTCATCTTGTGAGTGCTGGGCCAGCAAGGCATGGTGAGGGGCAAGTGGTATCTGTCTGGGGACAAGGATGCAGTCAGTAAAACTCATCCTTTGGATCTGCTAATGAGCTCATACTCGCCACATGAACAGTGTAGTGAATCCAGTTAATTCATGAGTGATTTTACCAGCACTCCCAGTCCTGCACTTCATCCTTTTTTGGCTTTTCCACACATAATCATTACAATCTGCACCCGCCCTTTGCCCTGTGAAGTGTGGACAGTAGAGAGTTTAGCTCATAGTTCAGCCAAAACCTCAGTGAAGGTAATTGGAGTTCATCCTTCTTTTTTCTTCAATCCCATCATCATCATCTTCACACTGTCCTCCTTGTCCTCTGTCAGTCTCTCACTGGAACCAAGTCACAGAATCATAGTGGCTGGGAAGGACCTTTAAGATCATTGAGTCCAACCATAAACCCAACACAGTCAATCCCACCTCTAACCCATCTCCTTGAGCCCGTCTGTTAAATCCCACCAGGGAAGGTGACTCCACCACCTCCCTGGGCAGCCTCCTTCTTCATATCTTGTCCCAACATTCAAAATCAGAATTTTTTACCTTTCAAAACTGAGAGTCTTTCTTTTCTTGGGTAGTTTTCATTTCACTGCTGGCTGACACCTGAAAAACTCAAGATATTACAAAGGAAGAGACTTGGGGAGTCAGAGTGCATTTTAAAAGACACTGAGCAAACCCAGCCTCCACTGACCTCTGTGGAAGCTGATGTTTCACTAGCTCCTGTGATCAAACCAGCATTTTCTGCATGTGAAAATTAGCTTGTCTTTCCTTTTTCTGAATGGTTTCTCCTTTCCTTGAGAGTATTTCCTCAGGTGACTAAGGAAGGGAGGAGCACGAGTAACACTCTGAGACAAGGGATGATGCTTGTCACCAGACATCACCAGAACACTGCTGAACAGGAGGACACATTGCTGGAACACTATTTGTAGTGACAAGCTTGCCCTAAAGGCCATCAGAAGTGGTCTGCAAGGGAAGGGCACCTCCAGGCTCCAGCCTGTATGGCTGGTACTCTGGGAAGAGGCACGATGATGTTAGAGCTGTGAGGAAGCTCACAGTACTGCTGCTTTAGCCAGCCATGCCCAACGGGAGGCCATCCATTGCAAACAAGGGCATGGCAGTGCAGGAAAAAGCTAATTCAGTGTTAGAAGTTCTTCTGCCAGTCATTACAGACTAATCAGTGTGGGAACTGGGGTCACAGGAAGCCGTCAGAAGTCAATTAACAAAAAAAACCCCAAACCTTTCCTGTTGGTATGTGTTTCAGATCGAAATGCTAGAGCACAAGTACGGAGGTCACCTGGTGTCTCGCAGGGCAGCCTGCACCATCCAGACTGCTTTCCGGCAGTACCAGCTCAGCAAGAACTTTGAGAAGATCCGCAACTCCCTGCTGGAGAGCCGCATGCCACGCCGCATCTCTCTGAGGAAAGTCCGGGTCCAGAACTCGGAGAGCTTCTCCGCTGAGAAAGCCCTGGTGGAGGGGTACAACTTTGTGGGCATCCCGTTGGTGAGGTCCCCATCTTTGCCAGCCACCATCAGCGGGGCACTGACCGAGCTGGAGGACTCCTTCACAGAACAAGTTCAGTCCCTGGCCAAGTCTATTGATGATGCCCTCAGTACCTGGAGCCTGAAGACCATGTGCTCACTGCAAGATGGGGGCTCATACCAGATAAGGGAGACCTTCAGTGCCAGCTCAATGCAGCCAAACCAAGACTTAGAAACTGAGCTGCAGGACAAGGAGAAGGAGGAAGGACTCCTGCCAGATACCCTACCCAAGAGCAGCAGCACTCTCATGATGGCTTTTCGAGACGTCACAGTCCAGATCGACAACAAGAACATCTCTGTCTCATCGTCTACCTCGGTGTCCATGGCAAACTGCCTCAGCAGCAATGCCCAGGCTGGGCTTTCTCAAAGTACCAAGGCTGAAGAAAGCCCAGGAGAAGGGGAGGGAGAAGGCAGTGAGCCACCAGCTGCCCCAGAGAGCTCACCTGAGTCCAGAGCTCTCCAGAACAGCCACACTTTCACCGAGGTGAATGTCAGTACTAACGGCACGGGGGACAGCAGCGCTGAGCCTGAGCAGATGGCAGTGCAGAAGCTCCAGTTTGATGCTAGCAATGAGACGGGGCAAAGCAAAGGGTCCGAGTCGGAGAATGCAGACAACTCGGAGCAGCTAAGCAGCAGCAGCACCTCCACTTCAGCCAAGTCAGCCTCCGAGGTGTCCTCGAAAGAAGCACTGCAGGCCATGATCCTCAGCCTGCCAAGGTACCACTGCGAGAACCCAGCTAGCTGCAAGTCCCCCACGCTTTCCACAGACACCATGAGGAAGCGCCTCTACCGCATTGGGCTGAACCTCTTCAACATGTAAGTGTCTCTTCCTCTTTCTCGTTTCCCAGCCTGTTTTGTGCCTCACAGGAACGGGAGGTAGCAAGCTCTTGGTCTAGATCCACCTCTAGAGAAGTTATTTCATACTCAAGGCCATGACTCTTTGGGTATACAATGTAGACCACAAGTTGGCTGCCCAAAAACTTTTTACCCTAAAGTCCCCCAAGTGCTGTCCTGAACTTCTGCTCAACGGAGGAACAAGCCTAGTGCCCCATGAGTAGTGACCATGCTCTCCTGAATTCTGAACCTTCAATCTCAGTTGCCATCCAATTGGCCTCCACCAGCTGAGCCTGGGATCTAGGCTCCTGCTCCGCTCTGTTGCGAAGGAACAGGCGTAGCTGGGGTTGTAAACCCAGCCCTGGTTCCTTAACCTGGGACATTTCCAAGTAAAGAGGGATGGAGGTAGAGCTGAGCTTAGCCAGCCCAGTGTGAGTGCTCTGGCTGTTAATTCCCTTCTGATATTTGGGTAGATTTTCACCTGAGAGACCAGGTTTAGTCATCTCGGTCTCTCACATACCTGAGTCTGATGTCCTATTAAAAGGCTGTAGGTGTGAAAGCAAGAGCAGAGCAGCCCAGAGATGACCGTCAGAAGAGGTTAACTCGAGGGGTCACACGTAGTCTATTTTGGATTGGCAGAAAGCAGCTGAGCTCCTATAAGGAGCTTTAGATTTACTCATTGCTTTTGGATGAGACTTTTCTCATCAAAGCAAACCATGAGAACTCATTTCTCATTAACTTCATGAGAAATATTGGCTTTTGCTCCATCATCACACTCTCATCGTGTGCTGTCTCAGTTTCCATTTGAGTCTCCCCTGATGAAGGTGCTGGGGATTTAATGCACCCGTAGGAGAAGAATGTTTTGCCACGCTGTGGTGGGTTGACCCTGGCTGGATGTCAGATGCCCACCAAAGCTGCTCTGTCACTTCTCCTCCTCAACTGAGCAGAGGGAGAAAAATGTAAGGAAAGGCTCATGGGTGGAGATAAGCACAGAGATCACTCACCAGTTACTGGCACGGGCAAAACAGACTCCACTTGGCGGGGGGGGGAAACCCTCAAATTTTAATTTATTACCAATTAGACAAGAGGATAATGAGAAGTAAAACCAAATCTTAAAACACCTCCCCCCACCCCTCCCTGCTTCCCGGGCTTCACTTCTCTCCCGATTTCCACCTCCTCCCTCCCAGTGGCACAGGGGGACAGGGGACGGGGGTTGGGATGAGTTCATCACACGTTGTTTCTGCCGCTCCTTCCTCCTCAGGGGGAGGACTCCTTCCCTCACACCAGCATGGGGTCCCTCTCACAGGAGACAGCCCTCCATGAACTTCTCCAAGGTGAGTCCTTCCCATGAACAACAGTTCCATGACTGACAGTTCTTAATGAACTTCTCCAGCCTGGGTCCTTTCCATGGGGTGCATTGGTTCACGTTGTGGGTCTGTGTGTATATATCAAAGTCAGGCTCTGGGCACATGCAGATTGGCCTGATGAACACAGAAGGGAGGAACAAGAGAAGGTGGGCACCAGCCGCAGGTAGGGGTTGATTATGATAGAGATAGTTCCAGGTCCACACAGATGTTCTGGTGTTTGTGTTGGGATAGGTGTACTTCTGGAGGGGAATGTGGGGCTCACCTCTCTGCTGCTCTAAGTATTTAGAATCACAGAATCCCAGACTGGTTTGGGTTGGAAGGAACCTTAAAGCTCACCCAGTTCCAACCCCCCTGCCAGCAGCAGGGACACCTTCCACTAGACCAGGTTGCTCAAAGCCTCATCCAGCCTGGCCGAGAACACTTCCAGGGAGGAGCAGCCACAGCTTCTCTGGCCAACCTGGGACACTGGCTCACCACCCTCACACCAAAGAATTTCTTCCTCACATCTCAGCTCCATCTCCCCTCTGCCACTTTCAAGCCATCACCCCTTGTTCTGTCACTCCCTGCCCTTGGCCAAAGTCCCTCCCCAGCCTTCCTGGAGCCCCTTCAGGTACTGGGAGGCCACTAGAAGGTCTCCCTGGAGCCTTCTCTTCTCCAGGCTGAACAGCCCCAACTCTCTCAGCCTGTCCTCACAGCAGAGCTGCTCCAGCCCTCACATCATCCTCATGGCCTCCTCTGGACTCGTCCTAGCAGGTCCATGTCTTTCTTGTGTTGGGGGCTCCAGAACTGGACAGATATTTCATTTCTCAGCCGTGCTTGGCAGGAGTCCCTCCACCCAATGTGTTTTCCTTTGGTTCCTGCACAGCTGACATGAGCACTGATGTGAAGATAAAACAGGAGTGAAAATGCTTTTTCCCAGCCTCTCCTCCTCCCCCAATCTGCCTGGCACACATTCATGTGACAGATTAGCAGTGCCAGGTCTGTTTTGGGGAAGCAGCTCTGCTGTCCTCCTTCATTCAGTGAACTGGCTTCACTGCAGGTCCCTTTGGGATAGAAGACTCTTAGTGTGGAGCTCCAAAGCACACCTTCCCAGCCAGGTCTCCCCTGCTCACTTCACTAGCTGCTCTAATAATATGCAGTAACCCGTAAGGCTCAGTTTTCTCGACAAAACATTGGAGGACAGGGAGAGATGGAGCTGACCTGTTAGCTCTGGGGAGTGAAACCTTTTTTGTTTTATTATTATTATTATTATTCTCTGGGTGGATAGAACATCCTTTTTGTTGACCCCTTCCCTGGACCAAGAGCTGAAAGCCTGTAGTTTCTAGCAGCATCTACCATATTCTGTCCAACCTTGCGTTGTGTTTTCAGAAAGCAGCACTCCGGCTCAGAGCAGGCCCCTGGGAACACGTTGATGTTGTGCTGCTGTGACACTTTCCTCCATCCCCAGTCCACAGTGAGGGGGTGGAATCCCTGGAACGGAGAATGCTTCGTTAACGCAGCGCTGCTGGAATAACTCAGTGTGTGTGGGCAGCTGGGTATGTGGGCAGAGGGGAAAGCCAGCAGGACGTGAGGAATCCCGCAGCATTTGCTGGCCGTGCTTAAAACTCCACTGCGACACTAAAGCAAACAGCAGGAACCAGGCTGAGGAGAGGTGGAAGTGGAGTTGTCTGCTGCACATCTGGTTCAGAGCTGCCTGCTGCAGTACAGGGGGTCATCTGCAGGTGTGCAGAGGTAGGAGATGCTGTATGGCCATCAGGATTTTGTGAAGAACAAATTGAATCCCAGGAAAAACCGATGACAGGCTGCTGTTGGAATAGAATGAGAGAATGGTATAGGTGGGAAGGGACCTTAAAGATCATCTAGTTCCAACCCCCCTGCCATCAGCAGGGAAGAACAGTGTGTGCCAGTGTATTTCAGTTCCAGTCTGGTCAGTGCAGGAGGGCTGGCACAGCTGGATTCTTTTATCCAACATCCCCTTGCATTGTGTGTGCCATCCCTACGGAAATCTGCACATCCCTGCCAGTGTGTGAGCTGCATTTTGCTGGCTGTATTCAGCTCCCAGCTCCTCTAGAGTTGAATCCAAAGTCAATCCAGTGGCTTTGGAGTCACACCAGCGTAGCTGTGACCACCCTCGTGCTATGAACACCGTCCTGTCCCTTATCAGATACCAAAGTGTGCAGATGCCTTTTAGGAATCTCTTGTTGCTTGGCTTGACTTTAGCCCTGACCGTGTGACCTTTGTACTTAGCAGAGGACTTTGCCTGTGCTCATCAAAGGTGAACCAGGAGATCTGTGTGCTAATACAGAAGGTTGCACTGTTGCTTTTCCCTGAAGAAGGCCTGGGGTTTTTTTAATATCAGATCTTGCAGCTCTCCCTGTTCATAAATTAAATGGGCTGACTTGTTCTCCCAGCCGCTCTCCCCCGGGATGCCACACTGCCCAGGGTATTTTCTTTGTGACATTACAGAGTAAGCAAAACTATTTCAAGCCCATCTACATTTTTAATACCCGTGAGGCCCCTGTAAGCAGCAGGCCATTCTCCTGAATGCTGATCCCCTTAGAGCTAGACATATGTTGCTCACCCACATCCTTCACCACCTGACAGTTCCACAGTCTGTGCCTGTGCATGTCGTGCGTTCACGTGCTCTGAGATCGCATCCTATCCTTTCCTCAACCCAGGAAACTTCCTGAGCAAACTCACTCCTTGAGCCTTGACAAAGATCCCTCAGTTTCAGTGAATGATGGAGGTGTGGCATCTTTTCGTGAAGAAGCTGCTCTCTTACCTCTCCCCACTCAGAGAATCACACAATCCCAACTTTGCCTTGATTGGAAAAGACCTTTAAGCTCATGGAGTCCAACCATGAACCCAACACTGACAAGTCCCCTATGACTAACCCATGTCCCTCAGCACTGTGTCTACATGACTCTTCAATCCCTCCAGGGATGGGGACTCCACCACTGCCCTGGGCAACCCCTTCCAATGCCTCAGAACCCTTGCAGCAAAGAAATTCTTCCTGTTATCACTCACCACCTCAGAGAACCAAGGAATGTGGACATCTTCCTGGCATTGCACTTATTCCCCTCAGCAAGAGTGCACGGTCACAGACGTCCTTCAGTGGGGAAACTGAAATACAGGAAGAAAACCTCCTGCACAATATACACATAGACGCTAATTCCTGTCTGTACAGTGGGACAGGCACCACGTAGGCTCACAACCACTCCCAGGATACAGAGAAGCGTGTGGGCTTGTGGGAGACATGAGGAGAAAACCAGAATGTGCAGACACACGGGCTCTGATCAACACGTGTGGTGCAAGAGAAATCTGCACGTACAGGACATAAACACACACAAATATGTGCTGGTTGAGACACGCGCTACCCCCCGAGAGCTGCGTATGTGGGCACAGACACTGGCACACTAACGAGCAGAAAATCACTCCCCAAATCACTCCCACAGCCAGGCAGTCAGAGCAGAGAGGCACTCAGAGGCACAGAGGGAGAAAAGCCCTCTGTCTGGGAGCTGCAGGCAGCTCTCTCCAGCTCTGGGGAGGCATTCTCCAGGTGCGCGCTCTCATCCACCCACCCACCCACGCGCAGAGCTTGCTGCCTGAAGGGGTAAATCAATAGAGAAGGGAGGAACAACACAGCAAAGGGTGGGGGAAGAAATGAGCAAATCCTGAGCATGGGATTTCTGTTCAGGCAGCCAGCACCAGGCTCAGGTGAGGAAGGGAGAAAGTGTCGCTCAACACTGAGCACTAAAAATGGATGAAAAAGAGAATTTTGTTTATTTTTTTAACAGAAAAAGTACCCACCTTTAGTCAAGCACCTTTGTGTCTTGAGCCTCTTTTGCCCATAGACCGCATCTCCAAACTCTCTTCACAGCCACATTTTTCCCTTTGCCTTTCTCTGCCCTATAGAAGGTGCAGCTCCAGCTCCCCTCAAGCCAAGGGACATGTGCCCTGCTCTTGTCCCTGCTCCCTGGGGACAACTATCTGTGGGTTGCATTTGGAGCAGCTGGACGTACTGATATTTCCTGTGCTGTATGTGTGGGACACACAGTCTAATCATGTCCTCAGAGGGACACTAAACAAACCAAACTGGGGCAGGGAGGAGACAAGAGCCTTTGACACTGGAGCAGATGGATGGCAGAAGACAGTTACCAATGAGGCCAGTGTCCTGCAGCAGGATCCTGATCCCCAGGTGACAGCAGATGCTGCAAGTGACACAGCAGGTTCTGTGACATCGTTTTGTCCTCAGTAGCAACTGGGGGGGGGACTCCCTCAAGTCACTTTTCCCCACCAGTCCCATCCCTGCTACACAGATGAACTCTTAGGAGCCCGTGCTTGCATTGCTGCAAGCCATGAGGTGAACCAGAGGCAATAATGCCTCAAAGAGATCCTGTAAACTCACCATGTCTCTGTCCTTCCCTTTCAGAAACCCAGACAAAGGGATTCAGTTCCTGATCTCCCGAGGCTTCATCCCAGACACCCCCATTGGGGTGGCACACTTCTTGCTCCAGCGGAAGGGTCTCAGCCGCCAGATGATTGGAGAGTTCCTGGGCAACAGCAAGAAGCAGTTCAACAGGGACGTCCTGGAGTAAGTGTGGAAACCTCTTCCCCTCTTCCCTGCACTGTAAAGGGAGTTGCCAGCCTACTCTGCAGCTGTGTTACACCCCATCCTCCATGTCCCTCCATAGTGTCTCTGCAGGAGCTTCACCATTCTCACTCCCTAGCTGGCACCTCTCAATACATCTCCTAGCCATGTGTTTGCCCCTTGATATCAGCAGCCCTTTCCCTGCAGTCTCTCTCTCCTCACAGGGCCTGCGATCATCTAGCAGGAGCTCAGCACCATCAGGTGGTAGAACTAGCGATGCTGGGAGGTTTTCTGACTGGGAAACTTTGTGACCGGGGTCTCACCCCATCCAGGTGAAGCACCTCTGATGCTTTCTGGAAAGTGCTAAGAGAGGCAGAGGAGGAAGAATAGCTACTCCTTGCTGTGAGTCCAACAGGGAGCAGTGAGTGCTGGCTCCACATCTGGTTCTCTTTCTGTCCAGTTTTGAGATGAGTGGCCTTTCCAGTTTGTCCAACTGCGCTACGGGGTGATAAGAGGGGATTTGGTCCTGTTGGTGGTACTGAAGAGGCCTCCATAAGGAAGCATGCTGCTAAGGGTTTATCATGACCACTGCAATCACAGAGCACTGAGGAACATCCCCACTCCAAAAAACTCCCACGGGCTGAGCTGTCCCTTTTCTGAACAAGATCTCAGGTTTCCTCCCTGCTTCTGTTCAGTGGTTGCCTTTGCTGGATTGTTCCCTTCAGTTCTTTCTCCGTGACCTTCTCCTGCTCACAGAATCCAGGCATGTCAGCCCACACCTCTCTCCTCTTTCGAGTCTTGCAATTTGGGCTGCAAAATCCTGTGAGTACCTGGAACCCGGACTACCCCAGCACCTGCCTGTTGCTCTCCCTGCCCCAGTGTAGCCACTGCCAACTTGTCAGCCCTAAGTGTCACGGGAGCAGGGGCTGAAGTGGTGGGAAGTCTTTGGCCTCAACAGCCCCCAGCAGCGCTCCAGGCTTGGGGAGGAGTGGGGGGAGAGCTGCTGGGCAGAGAGGGACCTGGGGGTGTTGGTTCATAGACAGCTGAACATGAGTCAGCAGAGTGCCCACGTGGCCAAGGAGGCCAAGGGCATCCTGGCCTGGATCAGTACCAGTGTGACCAGTAGGACCAGGGAAGTTCTTTCCCTTGTAAGAGAAAAGGAGGCTGAGGGGAGACCTTGTGGCTCTGTCCAAGTCCCTTGGAGGAGGGTGGAGAGAGGTGGGGGGGGGTCTGTTCAACCAAGGACCAAGGGACAGGACAAGAGGAAACGGGCTCCAGTTGTGGCCAGGGCAGTTGAGATGGGATGTGAGGAAGAATTTCTTTGCTGCAAGGGTTCTGAGGCATTGGAAGGGGTTGCCCAGGGCAGTGGTGGAGTCCCCATCCCTGGAGGGATTGAAGAGTCGTGTAGACACAGTGCTGAGGGACATGGGTTAGTCGGGGACTGGTCAGTGTTGGGTTCATGGTTGGACTCGATGAGCTTAAAGGGCTTTTCCAATCAAGGCAATTGTGGGATTCTGTGAAGAAAAGCATCTTACCTGTTGTGAGCATTGTCCAAGATGACAGGCTTTCTTCAAAGGTAGGCCTGAGGAACTGAGCTGAGCCTTTGTTTCCTGCTTGGTCCTGATCTACTTCAGATGAGGGAAAAGGAGAAAATCCAGCTCTCTGGATGATAAAATGGGGACATCAGGAACAGGGGATGCCATGTCTCCCATCCTGAGAGCTGCTCCAGTGAAAGCAGGGTGGATTTGCACCTGAGTGTGCACGTGAGGGTGGCCATGCGGGGTGATGTGACCAGTGTAGTCAGGGGGCAAGGGGCTCATTCAGAGACCTGTTTTAAGGGATGACCAGGACTCAGCTGGGTCTTTCTTTTCTTAGGCAGAATGACAGTTCTTAGTAAGAGCTGCCTTTCCGTTAGGCAGGAAGTCCTCTGCACTCAACCCTTTATTATATTCTCCCATTCTCCCAGATGTTCTTTATGTCTCCCTGGAATTTTGCAGTGGTTGCTCTTGAACCCAGCCAAACGGAAACCCTCAATCAGGACACACACCGCTGCTACTCCAGGGAAGGACTGGGGGATGTCACTTCAAGAGCCACATCTGAGCCCAAATTTCAGAATTCACTCCTGCTGCAATTGCTTTGCCTGTTGTTGTGGATACCTGATCTTTGGTCCAGCTCTTTTTTTAATATACTCTATGAGTATTGCTGTGGCCAGCAATGAGACACATGTTCTCTCCAGTCTCTTCATGCTGAGAGCTACGATTAAAAGTAATTGCTTCTTTTTCTCCAGCAAGCAATGTGTGGGCTGCTTCCCCTGACAGATACTCTACTGAAGTCCAGGCCTAGCATCTGCACAGGCACAGAAATATTGCAGTAGCAATATGCTGGCACTTCCTTGTGGCATCACCCTAAATTTGACATCATCCCTGCAAATGATCATGTTCTTCTGCCTCATCTATGACTACAAACTCGGTGTCAGCAGCTCCTGGGAACAGTCCCTATTGCAAGGCTTGGGTTCTGCCTCCCAGCCTTGATACCCAGGAGCATCCAGGTTGTGTTGTGGTTGCCTGTCTTGTCTCTGCGTGTATTGTGAGCCGGGCAAGGGAGGGGATCGTCCCACTCTGCTCTGCACTGGGGCGGCCTCACCTCCAGCACTGGGGGCAGTTTGGGCACCACAGGAGAAAAAGGATCTAAAGCTGCTGGAGAGTGTCCAGAGGAGGGACACAACATTGGGGAAGGGTTTAGAGGGGAAGGGTATGAGGAGAGGCTGAAGTCACTTGGTTTGTTGAGCCTGGAGAAGAGGAGACTGAGAGGAGATCTCATGGCAGTCTAGAACTTCCTGCCAAGGGGAAGAGGAGGGGCAGGCGCTGATCTCTTCTCTCTGGCCACCAACCAATGCCAGGAGCAGAGGGAATGGCAGGAAGATGTGGCAGGGGAGGGTGAGGTTGGCCATGAGGAAAAGGTTCTTGAGGGAGGCAGAGGGTGGTGGAGCACTGGCACAGGCTCCCCAGGGAGGTGCTCATGGCACCAAGCCTGACAAGATTCCAGCAGCATTTGGCCACCATGTGCCCTCAGGGACATGGTGTGAATGTTGGGCTTGTCCTGTGCAGGGACAGGAGTTGGACTCCATGGTCCTTGTGGGTCCCTCCCAGCTCACAACATTCTAGGATTCCATGATAATAAAAAAGAAAGGATTGAAGAAAGGCTGCACGGATAATGATGTGTCTCACATTAAACAGAAGTGTTATTGCCTTGGGCCTGATTTTTTCGAAGTAACAAAATGATTTTTCCGCAATACTTACCCAGTAGATTTGATAAAAACTGCTCAGCACCAGATCAGTGATTTGATGGTCCAGGCTCCCTCTCTACAGCTGGATTCCCTGGATTGGTAGACATTGAAACCCTGGGGTAGGTCCCTGGTGACACCTCCCAGCTGGCTGCAGGGCAGGTTGTAGAAGCAGATTCCCAGGAGGAGAGGCTGGACCTTCCTCTGGGTTGATGGATCACAGTGAGTGGTTGTTCCTGTGGGATGCTCAGAATTGGTTACAGATGGGATTTATCCCCTGTAGCATAAGATGCCTAAAAGCTAGATGTCCAGCCTAAACTAGCACACTGAGGGACCTGTGTCTCTCCACTGACTAAAGGAATTCATACATTGATAGCAGGCACTACACTTGGTGGTGGCTAACAATAGGTGAGATAAATCCTACTTTTAAAGATTGAAACCTTTACTGCCAGAGAGAACGACATGCTGCATCTCCCTAAACAGACAGGCGTGAGCAGTTTAGTGTCACCAAAGGATGTGAGCCAATTAGAGTCACATGCTGTTGAAAATCCCCTGCTCTCTCCACGCTTGGCTAGTGTGTATAATTACTTGTACGTTATCCAGTGTCCTGGTTTTGCTGGGACAGAGTTAATGTTCTTCTCAGCAGCTGGAGCAGCTGTGTGTTGGGTTCAGTGTGGGATTTGTGATGAGAAGAATGTTGATCAGGTACCAATGTCATTAGTTGCTGCTGCAGCCCAAGCTCATTGTGTTTGGGGAGTTGCAGGTGCAAAGGGCTGGGAGGGGGGAAGCATAGAAATTAGCAAAACCCCAAATTGGCATTTGGCTCTGCCAATGAGATATTCCATCTCCTATCCCAGCATGGGCAGGACATGAACCAGGGCTGACTGGAAATCGGGGGGATTCTCTCAGGGATCGCTCAGGCTCTCGCTCTTCTGGGGTTTGGGGACTGTCTGTGCTCCGGGATCACTGGCTGGGACAGGCTGGGCATTGGTCAGCGGGTGGTGAGCAACTGCACTGGGCATCACTCATTTGTATATTCTGTTATTACTGTTATTATTATTTTATTTCAATTAGTAAGTTGTTTTTAATTTAACCCGTGAGTTTTCTTACTTTTACCCTTCCACGTCTCTCCCGTGTTCCCTGGGTGGGGAGGAGAGCAAGAGAGTGACTGTGTTTGGCTGCAGCCAAAGGAGTGAAACCACCACATCCAGACACCTTTTCTGGGTTCCAAGAAAATCAGTTAAAGGCTGAAAGACAGAGTAGAAAGATGGAAAAGAGAATATAATTTCAGGGCATTTAGGTGCTGGGCATGCAGGTGTGGGAAGGGTGCTCAAGCCTCAGACTGTGCTTACCCTCACACCCCCCCTGCCCATGTACATAAGAGTCTTTGCAACCAGCACGACACTTCTCTGGAGTTTTGCATTTACTAGGTGGGCAGTAGAGAGGGATCATCTTCACCCTGAGCTAATCTTTGCCTGACTCCAGGAACAGGCAGTCGTTGGCTTGTTTGTCAGCCACCACAGCTTCAACCTCTATGGAAGCCAAGAGAAGTTTGCAGAGCACAGATTTACGGCTGGACTGAACAGCTGAGGCTGGAGTTTGTAACCTGGGCAGCTCTGCCCTGCCTCCAAATGCACAAGGGAGGCTGAGACTTTTGCAGATGTTTTAAAAGCTGTCCTATTATTTATTCATGTAATTGGGTTAATTCAACCTGCCTGCA